AGCAATTTCGAGCTCTAATTGCTTTCTCAACCGATTTTTGAGCTCTAAATGCTCAATATTTGAGGTTATAAATTTATCATCTTCCATTACCTTTCCAATTTCATCCAAAAACTCTCTAATTTTCGTTTTTTAAATTTTTTCTCTCATAACCTCACGTTTTCTTGTGAATCTTGCATATTAAACGATTGGGATTCTTTGTTATCGGTAAAATTCAAGGTTTCGGATGCTCGACTTCTACCTAAAGTATAAATACCATACTTCTTTCTTACGTTGCAGACTATTGAGGGCTAAAACAATACTTGTGTGCTTCATTTTTTTGTTCGGTCATAAGCGATGTAGTTGTACTTTCATTATCCATTTAGGTTATTTTTGTCAAATATGAAATCAATGGTCTACATTTGTTTTTCAAATGAAATTTTGAATCATTTTTAGCAATTTTTCTCTCATTTTAACTATTTTTAAAATCATTTATTTGCATTATTGGAAAATCAAATATAATGTATATTTTTTATTATAAGTTTGAATCTTTTAAAAATCAACCACTATTACTTTTCTATTCTAATATCTCGATTTTTTTTATTACACACGGACAATATTTAGTATATATGAATACAAAATATATCACAAAAATATGTTGAAAATATCTAATCAATTTTTATATGAAAAATTCTAATACAAAAACGGATTAGAATACTACTCTTGATAACACATACCTGAAAGTTAAAATACTATTTTTACTAGATTTTGACCCACACCAAGCGTATAATTAAATAATTAAATATATTTTTGATCTATTATAATATATAAATGTGTCTAACAAATCATATGATTTCTAATATTTATAAACTTACAAAATGATATGCATTGTGCATAAATATAATCAAGTTAAATTTTGTCAAGCATATTTTGATGCCATCAATTTTAATATTTTTATGTGCAATTGATGAGAACATATGAAAATTTTATTTATTTCAAAATATTTTAAGTGTAAAATTAAATTTTAATATTCGTGTAAATTATAGAGCATGCGATAAATCAATTTAATTTTAGATTTATATGAATTTGTCGGACATAATAAACGAAAAACAATATTTATTTTTCCATAATGAAATGTGTTCAAATTTAATATATCATATTAATCTAAATACATATATAAACAATAAATAATATTGTCACACATATAATAATAAAAAGTT